TTATGTTTTAATCATAGAAAAATACAGTTTTTACATCAACAGACCAAGTACAGGACACCAGGATGTTCAATACAAACAATTTTACAAAAATCTACCAAAAAGGGGTTTTTTTTTGTGCGTCATTTTATCACAGTAAATGTTTCCTTCTCTACCGAGTGTCCGGCTTATTTCCCATTTTAAACGAGGATCTATATGCTGCTAGAAGAAGTTCACATGTAGGAAAAAGTTGCAGACATTTTTTTAGCACTGGAACGTCCGCTGTGTGGGAGACGGCCCCGCACGATGCTATATCAGAGATCATTAGCACGTCTGTCCTGGTGTTTAAGGGATGTGGGAAGTTCATTGGAGAGGACTTGTCATGTTCCCTCTGTAAAAAATATTGTTTGAAAATGTGAATAAAGCATAAATCGACCCTTTGTGCTTCTTGTCCAATTAAATTATTATTTTTCTGTCAAATGAATCTCGTTTTTGGTGACCACAAACACACTCAAAAACAAGGGGACATGTTTTACCAATATGTATGAACATTAGTACGCACGGGGATCATGACCAGAAAGCCTCTCGTACCACAAACCCTACACGCAGTCGGGCATTTTGGATTGAGTGGTCATTTTTAGCGATTTAGCGAATAAACGTTGTGCTTTTTGTGACTGTGCATCAAACAACATACAAATATTCAGTACTACTCGCAGCGCCTCCTACTGGAAACAGGAATTAAGCCGTATGTGCCAATCACCATCTGATTTATGTGAAATTTTCATGGTATGGTCTACACCGTGCTGAGTTAGCATGATATTGTCTATTGTATTTAAGACTTTTTTACAGAGTTAAAAAATGTGTTGTTTTTTTTAAATCAATCTTTCTTTGATGTGAATGTTTGCTTGAACATGTTCACTCTCTCAATTAAAGATTTAAAGAAAAACATTTACCTAAAGTTGGTTTTAACTGAAGCTAATTATTGCCTGAAAGAAACTGTTTCTCATAATGGAGGAGAATTAAGAGGAGCCCGTCTCACTGAACCCGTCCTGACAGCCGACGGATAATAAAAACTATTTTATGATTTGTCAAAAGTTACTCGACTACTTTCATACCCTCATTAACAGTTGAGTCCACTGATGTTTTATGTTTATTTGAAAGGGTTATTTTGCGTTATGGTCAAATTTAAAGTCAATTAAAACCTGAGCTCTACAGTTAGGACCTCTAATGATAGTACCGGCTGGACCCGTCGCTCCGTCCTGATTCAGGGTTTGAGGCCTCCGAAGCACATGTACTTCACTTCCAGATACTCTTTGATGCCGTACTTGGAGCCCTCGCAGCCCAGACCAGACTGTTTGACCCCGCCAAACGTGGCCTCTGGGGTGGACAGGAGGCCCTCGTTGATTCCAACTATCCCCACCTCCAACGCCTCCGCCACCCGCCAGATCTGACTCACATCCTGCGAGTAGCAGTAACCTGAGGACAGAACAACAGAGAGATCAACACAAGCCCCCCAGGCTGGGTCCTTTTTAAAGCTTCAGCTCCTTCAAAGTCCACATTTTAAGACTGAATAACAGGTGACATTAAAGGCTCCCTTAGGAGGACACAACTGAAGTGTGCAGAATATGAAATGATTGATAGTTTTTGTAGTAAAGTTAAAGCCTAACTTAACATTTGAAGAGTCAGAACTGTTTGTTGTGTTAGTAACAGTTGAACCGCTCAGCAGGATGGACTCACCTGCCAGCCCAACATTAGATGCGTTAGCAATAGCCAGAGCCTCTTCCTCTGTGTTGAACCTGTAAAGCAGAAACAAAACCTTCTGATTGGTCGACAGACGTCTGCAGCACATGAATACAACCAGCTGTCAGCAGCACTTCCTGCTTGGGTTTTAATGCAGAGTTAGGGTGTAAAGTCCTTCCACGATATACTATATACAGAATATGGAATGCATTCCTATAATAAACAAAGTACAATTATTGTCAGCTCTAATTATTATAATTTATAGTGACTTCTCAACCTTTATGTTGTGTATGTGTAATTATTTGAAGCAACCTGGGTATATCATATGAAGTATGTAGATCAATAAAGTATGAACACATTAAAGCTCCAGTGTGAAACATTGAGGAGGATCTATTCAGTCAGAAATGTAATATAATATTAGTAGGTATGTTTTCATTAATCAGGAGGAACTCGGGTTCTGTTCAGGATTCAACAACAATGAACAATAAATAATATTTTCATTGGGAATAAATCTGCTTCCTGCGTGAACCTGAGGTTTTCTGAGCCTGAGAAACACTGAATGAGCTTTTATCTACAGAGGGGGCGGGTCCTCCTGTATGGAGTCCGCCATGTTGAACCTTTGTATTTCTCTGCAACAGCAGCACTAGATGCCTCTAAATCCTACACTGGTCCTTCAGGACTCGTTCAGTCACACGAACAGAGCGAGCGTACGGACCTGATGACGGGCAGCAGCGGGCCGAATGTTTCCTCCTTCATGCAGAGCATATCTGTGGTGACATTGGCCAGCAGGGTGGGCTCCATGTAGGACCCGTCCAGACGCTTCCCGCCCTTCAACACCTTCGCTCCCCTGGACACTGCATCCGACACCTGCTGGACCACCTGAGAGACAGACAGCCTCTGAGGACAGACAGCCTCCGGTTTACACTCTCTCCCACAAGGCTTTATTATGTGAGGCCTGATGGATATTAGGACAGTGTACAGAAACACTTTTTCATTTAATAACGGATATAATTGGAACTTTACAGCAGATAGACGCCAAACAAGACATGTAAATAAACCGTGTCGTACTTTTTATTGTCTTTCCCACAATATTTTAAAAGCGTTTGTTTTGTTTCTGTGAAGTTGGAAATAAAGTGTTTCAATTAAAATTAGTTGCCTGCAGAGAGAGAATATAAACTGTTTCTGGCTGAAAGATACTAAATTTATCATGAACCAGATGATATCTAGATAAGAAAGCTCACTGTTCCATCAGTCTAGACCAAACCTGGTTAGGACCGCCCACTAGGGGTCGCCAAAGGCTTCAGGGGTGGGTGCAAAAAAAAAACGTTACACAAACCTATTAGAACGCATGGACGAGGTGTCAGCGAGAATAAAAACACTGAATTGTCAAATGAACCCCACTGAGTCTGTATGAGTGTTTATGTAAGGTATATATTTTCTTTCTTTCATTATTATTTTATTATTATTTAAAAAACATAATACAGACAGAATGATAAGAACATTAATATAAGTGTTAGAATATATTAAGAGTATATAACATTATCAGAAGCACTGTGGTCGTTCCTGTCTTTACTTCTCTGCAGGCTCTGGTGTTGATGAGGCCCCTGGTCGTGCCGGGGCTGCCGAGCCGTGCGGCTCCACACGCAGGCTCCAGCGTCCACGCTTGCCCCAGTTTGTCCATGAAGCATCGTGGGAGATGCCGCCTCTGCCACCAGAAAGTCGGGGTTCCGAGCACAAAACACAATTTTGGTGCTGCGGCGAGAAAGGAGAGGAAACTGATGTAGCGCTTGTGGATAAGGGAGGGTGAGGTAGAGGTGGATGAACTGCAGTAACAGCTGGTGTGAGCTTCAGTCAAGACTCGAGAACGCTGGGTCCAGAGTTCCTGATACCTGCTGGTGGCCATGGCTCGGCCACCGCCTTGATCGACATTCGCCTGTCGAAACGACGAATGAAGGGGCGTGGCCACCAGCTCCATGAGGACGCCTTTGCTTCACGGTGTCAGCAACCATTTTCCAGCAGCACCTGGAGTGGAGGAGTCTACAAAAATGTAAAGTATGTACTGTAACACGCACATAAGAGTGAGGAAACTCCAAACTGAGAGAGCCAGCGCCAACGGATACCGATACGGAACGGATAACGTTAGATGGAACTCTCGAAGAGTCTCTCTTTTTGAACCAGATCTTTCTGGCTATTTAAAAATATGTAAGCCCCGGCTCAAGAATGGGTCAAAGAAAATTCAGCCTAAATGCTGAAAATTATTGAAGAATACACCCTAGAAATTGTTTAAACAGCTCCAAAAAAAATGAAAGAAAAAAGAAGAAAATGTTGAAAAAGTTTGCTAGAAATCCAGATAAAATGACTCAGGATGAGATGTGTTGCAGAAACTCAAGGTAGACAGCGTCGGGAGGGTACTGACCTTGCCGCGTGGCGGTGGGACCGCGGTGAAGGAGATTTGGTTGGCGACCAACGGGTCGGTGCAGAGAACCTCCCCGACTGCGGAGTCTGTTCTCCTGGTGAACACGGGGGGAACCACGTTGAACACCCCCGCCGGGATTTCCGCGGCATCGCTCCGCCAATCTTGTGCAGCGACGTGTAACGGTGTTTACTTACAGGGAAGGCATAACTAAAAAACAGAAGTGTTAAATGTTTCAGTGTGTCCGACCTCGGCCAGAGCGAGCGCCGACAGCGGCGTGCCTCCTGCCGGGCTTGACCACCACCGGCAAGCCCGGCCAGCCAAGCCGGCTCCAACCTTCCTGGCTGATCATAGCGCGCTCGGGAAGTCCACTGTGGTAACAACACAACCAAAACATCAACATTCCCACTTTAGTAATTTTAAATGACTTAAAGAGTAGTCCAACTCTGTAAGTAAATATATGACTTTTAACTCAGAAAGATTATTGAAACTGTTTACATGGAACATTTTAAGTTACATAAACTCAATTTTACTTCGTGTTACTTAAAATTTTAAATCAGTTTCAACATCTTTTTGAGTTAAATGAACTGGTTTTACAGTGTAATCTAAACTTTAAAAATAACAATTTAATTCAGTTTTCTTCACACAAATGAATTTAATGAGTTGCAGGCCTACTGAGGATATTTTTTACGTTTTCTACTTAAAATCAAGAAGAACTTGCGACGTCCTGTGAAGAGAAATTCAAACTTTGACCTGATGGTGGCGCTGGAGGCAACAATCTGACCCACAGTGAGGTTGAGCTGCTCACCGGTGTGATGATGGAGGCGACCCCCACAGGCTGTTTGAGGAGGAGGATCTTTCGGTCCTTGGCAGGCGACGGGACGATGTCACCGTACACGCGCCGAGCCTCCTCCGAAAACCACTCCAGGAAGGAGGCGGAGTACGCGATCTCCCCGAGAGACTCCTGCAAGGGTTTCCCCTGCGACACACAGTAATGACACCATGAGCCTCACACACAGCATACAGGAACAGATTGTTAATGTTAGCTAGAAAAAATTATAAATGATTGAAATAATAATTTAAAATAGGATAAAAGGTCAAAATAGTTTCAAATAAAAGATGAATGGTTGTAAAAGTTTGTAAAAAATTTATAAATAAATCATCTAAAAATGGTCAAAAGGTTTCTCTGCTTGGAAACGAAAGGCATTAATAACATAAATGATTTGTATATTGGGGGAAATTTTGCCTCATTTACACAGCTACAAGCCAAATATAGAATATCTGCCTCAAGTTTTTTCAGGTTTTTGCAGATTAGAGATTTTGTTAAAAAAAGATGTTCCAAACTTTGAAGCTTTAAATAAACATGAAACTCTTGAGGCAGTTAACAAATTTGACCCGGGCTCCCGAGGGGCAATCTCTGTTTTCTATCGAATGCTTCATGATGGAGCTCTGATGAATACGGAGGTGTATAAACAGGCATGGGCAGATGAGTTGAATATGGAATTAAATGATGAAATTTGGGAAGAATGTCTACGTAACGTGCAAATGTGTTCAGTTAACACCAGACACAACCTAATACAGTTTAAAACACTCCACAGACTATTATTCGCAGGAAAAGCTACACAAATTTTATCCTGATATCCCACCAGTATGTAACCGATGTAAATCCAAGATAGGTACTCTAGCACATTCTTTCTGGGCATGTAGTAAACTTCATTCATATAGGAATTATTTTTCATTTTTTTCTGAGGCTTTTGGTAAGATTTGTACCCAGCCCCTTGGTAGCGATCCTGGGGCCACAAGTGTCTTTCTTCCGTCAATAAATTTGAAAGAAGAGCTATTCAATTTGGGATGGTGATTGCAAAAAAGCTGATTTTACGTGTATGGAAAATGGATTCTGTGCCTTCATATAATTTGTGGCTGGGAGAATTGTCAAACACTTTACATCTGGAAAGACTGAGATTCTATAATGAAGATAGAGGAGACAAGTTTGATAAAACATGGGACCCGGTACTGAATAACCTTAAAAATGTGAGCTCATAGACATTGGCTATTGTATAAAACCTCACTGTGCAAATGAGTATGTGATTTAGTATATGTCGAACTCATTTATTTTTTCTATTTTTAGATGTTTTTGTTTATAGTACCCATCTTAATTATGACCATGGAATATTGTTGTTGTAATCCTTGATGTGCTGTGTTCTGTATGTTATGTGATCTTTGTTAGGTGTTCTGTTTTTTTTTTTTTCTTTATTCTTTTTCTTGAAAATCAATAATATATTGATTATTACATATTACATATTACTACTGACACCCAACCAATGTTGGGTGTCAGTAGTGTAGCATCAGATTCACATGCTTTGTTGACCCAACAATTTACCCAAACCTCATACCTTAAAGGTTATGCAGCCTTATAACATCATGCTTTGTCCACATTTTGGTTCTGAGACACAAAAGTAAAAACTTGAATAGCCACTAGGGGCTCTTTATGTAAGCATATGTAGATCATTTTAGGGAGCTAGACTCCCTAGGCAGAGGTTTGGTTTGTAACTGATCTTTATGTGTAAAATCGTTGGAGTGCCCCTTTAAGTTAAAGTCAGTGAGCTAACATCTAGGTACAGTAGCTCCTGTGGGGACTATTGATAATTCCTTGTGCAGCAGCAGCATCTGTGTGAGAAGTTGGATTGTCACATCTACAAACAGCATTTTCACTGGGGATCTGTGAAGGTGGAAGTATAGCACTTAGTGAAGCCATTAACAATCCAATTTTCCAGTCTTTACAAGACAATCAAACAGAGAAGTTGACTTGTTGGCATATGGCCAGGCTCACACAGCTTTGAGCTTCTTGTAATGAAAACAGTAATCACAGTTAATTAATGCTTGATTCTCCTACAATGGTTGATGCTTGTCACATGTTCAGTCATGAATATTCTACATTGAGAGCCACAACAGTGACAGTACAGTCCATGTGTCTCCCTTTGGTTTGTCTTTCTCATTCTTTTAATGAGTTCTCTCCGAATTAAAAAGTGATATCCACAAAATTAAATGATAATATGAGGCATTTAACACAATGTTGCAAACAGGTATCATCACTATAGTTTGTGATATCAGACCATTCCAAGAAAATTAATATGGCTTATTTACTGCTTATTAAAGATAGAAAAGCCAAAAGAGAACAGGAAACATTCCTATGTTTTATAGGTGTTCATATCAGTATGCTAAAAAAAATGATTTTAATATAGTGGACACAATGAATACTCACAGTCCACTCACCTAAAAATATGTTTTAGTAATCTATATGATGAAATTGATCAGGGCCAGCTCAGGTTGGTAACGGAATCCATGAAGAGCAAAGACAGAAAAATCTCAAGAAAATACAGGGAAAACATACTAACATTCAGGCTCTGCATGTACAAGGTAATCTACATTAAACAGTATAGATCCACACATCAATTATAGATCTACATTAAGTTCATACATGCATTAATAATAAATCCCTCATTCCATTAGTAATCCTGGCTACAGTATACACACAATAAATACAAATATTAATGATTCAGTCATAATTATTCTGTCTGACCACACAGTCCAAGCTGTTTGGTGTAAAAATCCATAATTGCAAAAGTGTCAGTGTGTGAGTTCTCTCTCTCTCTCTCTCTCTCTCTCTCTCTCTCTCTCTCTCTCTTTCTCTCCACCCACCTAGAGCCGGGGTCTGTCAGAAGTGTCTGCCTCCAATTTAGTTTTCAGATTTAATGTTATCACGTTTTTGTTTCATTATTCATGGCGTCCTGTCAGTGGCTGGGACATATATCTAGGCGCAAAGTGAACATTTTGTCCTCAAAGTTGATGTGTTAGAAGCAGGAAAAAGGGCAAGCATAGAGGATTTGAGCAACCTTTGAACAGGGGCAAATATGTTGATGGCTGACGACTGGGTCAGAGCATCTCCAAACTGCAGCTCTTTTGGAGTGTTTTGGAACGTGCCACCAGGTTTAGTACTACTCAAAAGTGGTCCCAAGAAGAAAAAGCAGTGAACCAGCGAAAGGGTCATGGTGGTCAAAACTAATGATTCAAGTGGGGAGTGGAAGGCTAGTTTGTGTGGTCCATTCCAACAGACGAGCTTTACTGTAACTCACATTGTGAAAAAGTACCACAAATCGATAACAGAAGTTATTCTCAGGACACTTCAAATAGAGCAGGTCTGACCAAATACTCCTTCATAAAAATTATTTCAGAGACCCCAACAGTTCCCATCCATGAGCAGGCACTTGGCGATGACGGCAAAGAAAACTTCTTTTTAAGAG